ATATTTGTGGTCAGTCATATGCTGCCCTCTAGTGGCTGGAGGAGGAAATTAGCAAAAAATTGTTCATCCAAAATGGACAGTTCCGACATTATTAACTCGCTGTTATTTTTTCTATTCCAAAATGAAAATTTCGGGAATCTTCAACTATTTTCCATACAGCAACAGTTCACAGTAAATGATGACAGAATCTTGGAACATTCCTTGTACAACTCTGCTTTTCCATTAGCCATTTTAATCTGTGAAACATCACAGATTAGTCCAGGAATAAGACTACATTCTTCGCTACTCTGAACTTTGGTAAGTAGCATGACTCCAGTTGGAAAACAACAATTTCCACAATTGCAGAACTGCAGAAACAAACTACAGACACAACTCTGCAGGTTTAAACCCAGAGTGAAACAGAACACAAAACTCTGATATGAGCAATAAAGACTGAAAATGGCTGGAAAGGCTGCCACTGTTCTCTCTCAGACACACACACACAAATACACACAGAGAAATGTGGTGCCAAATAGGGCTGCTCGAGGAGCTTTGATGTCGGTCTCTCTTGGAATGCTCTCTTCTCCTCTCCCGCCTTTATACTCCTCTCTTTCTTTCTATCCCCCTCTCATTCTTTCTTGTTTTCCTCACAGTTTCTCACAGCAGGCAGGAGCACAGGGCAGAATGAACCAGTGTGTAGAGCAAAAAAAAAAATGTTTTCCCTGATTGTCAATGCTCAATTTTCTGTACGGGTCTTTCGGTTGGATACGCATGTGGAGTGTGGAACTTCACTGGAAACTTCCAGTTTTATATATTATTACTTTTGATACAAAAAGTCTCATCTTTCAAATTATGTCCAGTTTTTTTTCAAGAAAATTCAAACAATAAATGCCATTTTGACGCTCCTTGATGTGGTGTGACAGGTAGGGTTGGGTATCGTTTGAATTTTATCGATTCCGGTTCCGATTCTGCTTATAGATTCCGATTCTTATCAATTCCTAATTCCGATTCCAATAAGATAAAAAAAAACATTAAACAAATTTTAAGTCAAATATTCAAATGTTGTCCCTGATTGTCAATGCTCAATTTTCTGTACGGGTCTTTCGGTTGGATACGCATGTGGAGTGTGGAACTTCACTGGAAACTTCCAGTTTTATATATTATTACTTTTGATACAAAAAGTCTCATCTTTCAAATTATGTCCAGTTTTTTTCAAGAAAATTCAAACAATAAATGCCATTTTGACGCTCCTTGATGTGGTGTGACAGGTAGGGTTGGGTATCGTTTGAATTTTATCGATTCCGGTTCCGATTCTGCTTATAGATTCCGATTCTTATCAATTCCTAATTCCGATTCCAATAAGATAAAAAAAAACATTAAACAAATTTTAAGTCAAATATTTAGATGCCAAACATATTTATTCTGTTTTATGTCTATGGTTTTATTAAAAAAAAATACCACAGAAAAAAACAACTAGACTAATATAAATTTCAAACATTAAATTGTTAAAGACAAGTAAACAAATTAATTAGCAATAGCATAAATAAATAAAACTGAACAAATGTCAGGTACAGAAATTGAAATCAAAAGTTTAAAAACACTGTATAGTTTTCTTTTCATAAATAAAATATTGATTAATCCTCATTAAATTACGAAAGATATTCAGTCAGTTAATGATTTTCCTTTGTTCTTTGATTAACATTAATGATAGGCAGCACGTTTATTAGACGGCTGTCTCTATAAACGAACACACATAGATCTAAAAATACTGTTACACATGCGTTTTCTTTATCATCTGTTTACGTTCACTTAAGACAAAAAAACAGCTGTGTTTATGATAATATACTGATGTATTTCGTGCATACTGGTTGATAAATGTGAAAGAGAAGTCAGTTCTGGCCCAGAACAACCTTTGTGGAAATGCACAGAACAGTTTGAGAACGGACACAGGTCGGGACCACTGTTCTCTGTGCTCGCGCTTCAGATGTGTGCGCTGCACACAAACAGTGTGCAAGTTTTCCCTTCCTGCACTTAAATAAATTAAATCACATTAAAATGAGAACTTGGGAATCGTTTAAGCGGAATGCAAATGCACGTCTTATCGAATACCCGATTATTGGAATTTGGAACCGGTTCTCGATACCCAACCCTAGTGACAGGTCACTGTATATAGGCACCTCAGTTCAAACGGCAGCGCAGAGCACGAGTGAGCGTGATCATCCCTTCCTCTTTACTACTAGTTTTAATGCAAAATAAACATGAATGAACATCTCATGCCTCATGTAATCGCTCAATCAGTGTTTCAACCGCGGAATGTATTGCATTATGTGCAATTTACATGTTTGAATAAAATTTTTAAAAAATAAAAAGTAATTAAATTTAAGTTTGGGTTCTGTTGTTAATGGTAAGCTTACAGTAATGTAAAAGGGCTCCCTATAGTTTAGCGCATAAGCTGAGGCAGATTTTTATCCCTAAGAAATTTTTAATTATAATTGAATTTAAAGAAAGAGCAATTTGTTCAGTAAACAAGTTTAATAAAAAAAAAAATTTTTTAAAAAAGGAATTTTGTGTTTAGTTTTTCCCCCTGCTGTACCAAAACCAGACTGAACTGTGACGTCAAAACCAAGGTACATACCAAAGCATCATGTTTGTGTACCATTGAATTAATTAATAAACTGAATGAATATGACGAACATTTATCAATTGAAAAAAATATGAATTAAAAAACTGCAAAAATGCAAGTTAGTGTGTGTCTGTGTTTTTGAGAGAGAGAGAGATCGAGGAAAGAGAGAGCTTGAGTTTGTGGGAGATGGGAGTGTTTGTGTTTGTGGAATGAGGAATTCAGTGAGTTTGTGGGAACCTGGTGTGTGTGTCTCTTCTGGTCTCACTGCTTGTGTCAGATGACAGGCGTGTCTTTGATCAGTCTGTTATTAGTGAGGTGTGTATGGACAAGAGGAATTCAGATCTTATGCTTTGTGTTCTCACTCTTCCCTTAACCACTCTCCATCTGAATACATGGAACCCAAACACAAAGGAATACCATTTCATCTATTAATCTCACATCACATATACAAGTCATCACACACACAGAACTGCATGTGTGTTTATGCTGATTAAGACATCTTGAATGTGTCTAAAAGTTGATAATTCTCTCATGAGGACAGAGACATGAATGAGCGCTTGCCAGCAGAGACATTAACAATGGACCTGTGAAGGGAGTTTATTATTGTTTGTTGATGTTTATGTGTGTGTCAGCTGAGCAGACAGATGGATAGGACAGCCCTGTCTGGACCGATGCCCACGTTTGTGGATCCAAACAGCCTCTCTCCAGACACAGGCAGATATCATGTTCAGGATGGAAAACTAGAGTACATTATTGTTAGACAACCATTCAAAAGTTTGGAGTCTGTAAGACTTTTTGTTTTTCAAAGTCTCAAAAATACTGCAAAACAGCAACATTGTGGTAACAGTAGCGCCAATTGCAAACAGGAACAAGTACACTACATAGAAATTTCCTGTCGGTGCATTATTTGAGCGGACTTTGCGGAACGCTCATTCATAGAGCGGAATATTGAGCGGGGCTTCACACCGCGCAGTGACGATGGCTAGAGGGAGAGTGAAACCTGAGCGCTGAACACTGCTAGGCGGTGCGCCATATATTTTCCGAAATTTCGGTGCATCCCTATAAGAAATCATTCTAATATGCTGATTTGGTTCTCAAGTAACATTTCTTCTTATTAAAGCTGAACACAGTTGTGCTGCTCAATATATTTTGTGGAAACTTTTTCAGGATTCTTTGAAAAAACGTGATGAAAGTTCAAAATAACATGCAGTGAAACAATAATAAATTTACTGTAACTTTTGATAAATTTAATGTATACTTGCTGAATAGAAGTATTAAAGAAAACACTCACTGACTCCAAACTTTTGAGCGGAGGTGTAACTAACTGTTATGCCATTCTGAACATGTAAAAGTGGGTAATTTAAACAAAGGTATATTGAAACTGGAGGGAAGTGAAGACAGATGAACAAAGAAAAACAAATTACAGTCACCAATGTATTTTTAGATTACAATATTCTTCTGCGGCAAAGGAAACCACAAAACACAGCTCAGACAATTCCACTGAACAGCCTGTGATGTTTACTGATCTCTAATCAGAGGCCTGCTACAAGAGAGAGAAAGCAGCAATATTATATAAAGATAACATCCCTAATTGACGTGTTTTGCTCTGCACGTGTTCCCAGATTCTCTCAGCATTTATTATAGAGTTTTAAGTCTCAAATTGTGTTTCTTTCAGAGCCCTGTGTGTGTGTGTGTGTGTGTGTGTGTGTGTGTGTGTGTGTGTGTGTGTCTGAGGATATAAAACACATGCAGAGAGACTGCAAAGTATCTCCGCCTTCAGTATAAAAGAGCAAAGAGCAGTCAAAAGCAGTCTTCGAGCCCCTGAAAGTCTCATTTTTGTTTTTTCCTGTCATGAAAGCGCGCTCCAACAAGCCACAAGATAATTAGCCAACCAGACGCCAAGCACGGCCATGTTTATGGACAGCCCTGTCCTCCAGCTAGCCAATCGCACTGCAAAGATCTACAACAGCAATCTTGTGAAACACCAGAGGGATGTCTAAAAGCATTCGAAACACAAATCAGCATCAAGACAAACATTTCCAACAATCAATGCATTGCAAGAGCAAAACAGCTGGCAATTTTCTAGAAGCCAAAAGCCATTTGGCATGGTGAAGCATTTGTATTTGTATTAAAATTGTGTTTTGCTCAATAAAGGCTAGTTCTGGTTCTGAAAAAACATCCAAAGTAATCTGCTTTTAATCTAAGACACGACAACAACTATGAGTGAACAACAGACACGAAGTGACACAAACATCTTCTGCCTCAAATCAGTTATTCTTCATCCTGGCTTTCCGAATCTGTAACATTCGTGTGAATACTCTATTTGAGCACTAGGTGTCAGGCTGCACATACATAGCAGAACTCACCAGAACCACAAGAGTGTAATAAAAGCACTCACATTTTCAATAACAAAGGTCCACTCTTTGTCTTCAAACTCCTCTGCGTGGGGATCCTAAAAAACAGAATGTGGAAATGAATTAGATGGCATATGACCTGAGACAAGGCTCACTAAAGAAGTCTCAGAATAAAGCCTGTTTTTAGTGTATTTTGTTACAGAGAAACTGGGGAAAAGCAACTCCACAGATCAAATCAATCTCCATTTACTGATCAACAATAGAGATCAAAGCAAGATCTGCATTTCTTGAGGGAAATAAAATGCAAAACATACAAAGGATGTAGAGATGTTTCCATAAATGACTTACCTAAAGCTTCATCTGGCTACATCAGTAATATAATGACCAATTGCAGTGCGATAGGTCACAGAGAAAGTGATCTGTCTGTCTCATACAAGTCAGATAAATTCTTCTCATACTGATCTATGTTGTGAGCCTATTTCAAAGTTGAATCAGGTTTATTAGTCAGGTAAATGCGTATATGAGGATGCAAATACATACAGTTCACCTGACCTGCTGTTCTGGAACTATCCCGGTCAGCTGACTGCAAGGTTGGCGGTGCACAAATGAAACATTCATGAACTCCTGAATGCCAAATTGACCTACTGCAATGAACTCTGGGAGATGTAGTTGTACATGACACTGATTAGTGTGTGTTAGCGTGGTTTGGTGATGAGAGGGCTGATAAGGAAAAAGCTTGGACAAGCACTTTGTGTGTGTGACCTATGTAAACACAATGTGGAGACTGTTAGAGGATATTCAACACCAGGTCAGCCTGTCAGCGCTAGCTCGTAACTTGCATGTGTGATGTATGTATGTGAAAATATTTATATAAAATGTGTGTGTATATACACATCATTTTTTTATGCATACTTAAGTATAGTAATAAACTGTACATACCACTATACATATGTATGCTTAATACAAGTTATATAACAATATATTTAAAATTCCGAACTCAACGTCAGAATTGTTGTCAGAATGTCATCTGTGACAAGAGTACTGTCATCTCAAATCCTGTGCTGTTAGCAGGAGGAGCCTCTGATCTACAAACTTCTCTCTCTCTTTGTGTCTAATAGATGTACTTCCTCTATGGCTGTACCTGGGTCTGACAATTGAGGATGTAAGGTCTCACTTCTCTCGTGCCAGATGTAAAAATCTGCTGACCGGCATTTCAAAAAGACTAAAATACCAAGCACAGACTTCCTGCTGCCGTGTCAGTTTCTGCTGTACACACACTTGAGAAGGGGGTTAAAATTTGGACTGTGGAAGTTAAATTAAAGTGGAATCAGGACGTCTAGACACCAGCAGACCTGCAGATCTCAACCAATCAGCTTCTGGGAAAAAGCCAACTGCTACAACTGGCCCCAATAACGTCTAGGCCTACTTGGCCCCTAGATGAAACAGTGTTTTTAATGTGTGTCTGTAAGTGCATGTGTTTACCTTAAATAGTGTGACAGTGATCTCTATGTTCTCTGGAACAGGCCACACCACCACTCCTCTATATGGGTTCTTAATGCCAGGCTGCCAGCTATGAGACTGTAAAAAAAAAAAAAAAAATTATATATATATATATATATATATACACATTAGATGATACACAAAATGATTATAATAGACACAAGAAAACAAACAGCTTTACTTATACAAAATAAAATAAAATACACAATCTAGTCGTTGTTACACTGCAAAAAAAAAAATTCTTAGTATTTCTGTCTTGTTTTCCAGCTTGAATTAAATATATTTTTCTTACCCCATTGGAAGAATTTTTTTTAGTTTTAAGCATGAAGTATAAGACTTATCATTAATCATTTTGCTAAATTAGTCAATTAAACATTTTAACTGGAAAATAAGACAAAAACATGATTTCTGCATGAATTTGGAGTGATACGTTGTTACATAAAGCTTTAATGATTAATTAAAGTTGATGTGCATAATTTTTGAGCCAATATCAGCACAAGAAGAAACTGCGCCATCCCATACTCACATCATTAGCTCAATCGTTAAGTGCATTTATATGCACATTAAAAGTTTGATTTCAGTTGGACTAAAACTAAAATGTCATATAAACACTTCAGTCAGACTACTCTTACAGTACTAGTCTGGTTTTGTTAAGTCAGACTTACAGAGCTAGATAATGTAATTGTAGCTCAACATTGTCCAGCATGTATAAAAGCTAATTGGGCTACAATTGTCTTCAGCATTGTGTGTCTGCTCCAAAAGCTGATCTGTGATGTGTATTTAATCCATCAAATTTTATATTAAGAATGTAGCTCAACTACGCAAAAACCCACTAGTTACTGCACATGTAAACCTACTTTAAAAAAAAAAAAAAAGTAATATTACCCACCTTGGAAGACTTCCTTCGGCTCCTGCGTGTCCAGACAACAACTAGCTTGTCCGGTTGCCTAAAAAAAGAACACAAGAGAAAAAAAATTCAACAAGCACTAATGAAGTATTTAACAAGCACATTATCTAAAAGAAACACTACCAGAGCTTCAGATTTCAGTTCTGCTGTGAACAAGCTACAGCAAATTTGAGTCTGAATCACTTGTGCCCCAACAGAGAACAAGATCAGATGAGAAATGAGAGAGAAAGATGCTGACCAGCCTTCTCAAGAAAGAGCTCAAAGTCAATCAATTCATACCCATATCACACAGCCTAGCCCAGCAGCAAACAAACTCACTGCTTTTCAGAGGCCAGTGTGTGTGCGCTAAATGAATGTGTTAATGGAGTTCAATTCATCCCTCACACTAAAGCACAAATACACCTTATGGTACAACATTCACAATACACACTCACGATTCGAACGATCAAAAGGTTTAAAGATAAACAAACTATTAGACTAGAAGGAGAAAAAGGTTTCAGCACATCTGAGCAGGGCTGAGAGAGAGAACACACACACAGGAACCAGGACTCGCAATCTTGAATTGGATTACCAGCAGTAAGAGGCTTGACCGCAATCTGACAGGTGTGTGTTTATGCATGTGTGGTGTATGTGTCTCATTTTCAGAAACATTACTGTCCTCATCTAAACCATTCCAAACATGATAGAGCAGACAGAAGGCTGATCTATGCCCATCTAAGGCAACTCCTGCTGAGTGTCTGGATTATTCTAGATTACTATACAGATCAGTTTCCCAGGAACAGAGAAACGTCAGTACTATAAAACAAGTATATAAATATAAAAGTTTAATAATTTGACATAAAACATTGCACTAATAAGGTATAAAAAAGACCTTACAAAGGTTTATTTAAAGGTGACATATCATGAAAATCTGACTTTTCCAGGTTTTAAGTGCTATAATCAGGTCCCTGGTGCATCTACCAACCAAGGAAACGTGAAAAAGATTAACCCAGTAACTTTGTTTTGGTAAGCCTTTTTCTGCAAGCGTCTGAGAAAACAAGCGCGTTTCATTTCGCTCCCTTGGTGACGTTGCAAAGAGATCTCATTATAATATTACCGCCCCTTAATCTGCAAGTTTCCACCCAAGACACCGCCATTGTGTTTTTTGCAAGCGATAACGGTGTACCAGCTCTAATGCCATGGCGAAGGTTTGAGCAAAACATGCTAACTGTTCTGTCTTTGTCTGCACAGACGAGCACAGAACACTATTTAGATCTACAATAAACATGCAATTTATTTCCCAGCAGTTTACCTTCGCAGACAAAACCGACTGTTTTTGTAACGCGTGTGTTTTTAATGTAAACTAGTGTGCTTTCTGTCCGTATGCTTCAGATGTATGCTCTCAGAAAACTGTATATCAGAAGTAGGGTTGGGCGATGTCTACAAAATTGGCATAGGACGATGTCTACAGTGAAACATCGCGATGGACGATGACATCGGCGGGGGAGAGCGGCGGGGAGGGGTGTGCCCAAAGCGTGAATCCTTATAAGGAAAAACACGATTCCTAACACCGTTTCTACACCGGACACGAGCTGCGCGGCGCAACAAAATACTACAGAACCACTGATCTATAATAGAGATCTATTATATATAGATCATTCAATAGAACTCATTATAATAAGTGATACTGTCTACAGTGGATGCGGCACGGCGCAACACGACAAATCCCTGACAGTAAACTGCTGCCACGTTCTATTTAGGATGCGCTGACACAAATTTCAAATGATTTTCAACGGTCGCTTTGTCGCGTCCAGTGTAGACAGACTTTAGCTGATGCAGGGCAGCGCGACAACAACTGTCGCATCTGGTGTAGACACGGTGAAACGGTTGCCTGTTACATTACAGTACATAAAATTTCACTTACCACATAAACAGAGTAAGGAGAGATGACTGAGGACGATGGCAAATGATTTGCAGATACTCAGTACCACTGACAAACATATAATCTTGTAAAATGTGTGCCAAGTACAGCCGCTCCATAGTATAAACAGAGTACGTGCGATCGCGAAGCTCAAAAGTGAAACTGAAAACGATCGTGTATTCAATAGCACAATGCCAGGTATAATAGCGGCTCCCTGATGCCCGATGCCGGCTCAACATCGTGATGTCTATCAGCCATCGACGATGGCATAGTCTATCGGCCCAACCCTAATCAGAAGTTTAAACTCATATGGTTTAAACTGAATGATTTCAGCGCGATAAACATGATAATCAGAACCATAACAGATGTTTTTAGCAGGTCCGAGCTGTAATGGCGCAGTTCTATTCTGGAAAAGGGGGCGGTGAGCAGCAGCTCATTTGCATTTAAAGAGACAGGCCCGAAAAACAGCGTGTTTCTGCTTCCACTCAAAATAGGCATTTTCAAAATGATATAATAAATGATCTGTGGAGTATTTTGAGCTGAAACGTCACAGACACATTCTGGGGACACCAGAGACTTATATTACATATTGTAAACAGGGAATTGTAATAGGCGCTACTACATCTTTGACTTCTTAATTTAACAAAATTAAAAAAATAAAAAGAGGAAAACAACTGGATATACTCTTAACTTATGGAACAAAAAAATATCTAAAATATGCTGCTAGTCGGCAGATGTCAAAGAACCAGAGACCTGCTCTGTTTCTACAGCCAATGCCAGCACAGGCACACAATTACTGCACAATCACTGAAACATATCTGAACTAGGGATGCACCGACATGAACATTTTTGGCCGAAGCCGAACAAAATGAAACACTGGGCCGAATACCAAACACAGTTTTTCCGCATTTTTTCCCCCATGTAGGCCTATTTTGCATAAACCATTGCATAAATAAATAGCCAAAATGTGCTTTTTACTGTTTTGTCCTGCTTTTCAAATAAAAAATGAATGTTGATGGAGTTGTTGCTTTTTCTAGGCTTTTATTTTGGCAGAAACCAAATAAAAGTTTCTGTCGCATATGCTCCCGAAATTTAATCTGTGCGACCTCAAAATATATTTGGGAGCATTTGTGCGAGTGCATATAATTGTTGTCGTACGACCTGTTTGCATTTCTCTAAAAACATTCAGAGTATGTGCCTTCTGAGTGTTGATACGGTGACCTGTCTGCCGTTCTATGAAACGTTAGGCTACATAACCAATTAAACTTCGTCTTTACATTCTTAACTTTAATGCAGATTTTAGATTGGTTAATATTAGCTGTAAATCACCCAGTCACTGCTTTCCGCTAACTACCGCGAGAAAAAGAAAGGGCTGAAGAAGAGAGAAAACTGACAGATTTCTTTTGTGAACCACCTAAAGATACAAATAATGGTGCTGGTGATAGCGATCATGTGGTGAATGTTGATTCACCAGCCGAATAGAAGGCGTACAGTTTTCGGAGAGAGTGGTTGAAAGACTTCGAGTGGCTCCACTATGAAAATGCACTGTGCTCTATGCACTGCATTCACTGTAAAGCCTGTGGGACGGAGTTTGCAGGTAACAGCGTTCGCCACCAAATCTACACATTTTGTAATTGTTGTTTTACGATGTGTGGTTTGACATTATCGACTATATTGCAAAATCCAAACAAAACACACCTACAGAGAGTGCACGCATACATGACATGAAGTCTATTAGGTTAGATTAGTGCGCGTGCGCATTTAGAGTGCGTTCCTTCAAAAATCAGCATGATTACAAACGTGATATTGATTTTATACAACTTTAATAAAAAAAGAAGTTAATATTAAGAGACTTACGTTTTAGATACTATATTGCCTGTTTTTGCTCTATTTCGCCAACAAAAATAATTCCAAGCAGTCACAGCGCTGTTTTCGTCCTGCAGAGTTTAGGTCCAACTTGCCTAAACACACCTGGCTGCCAGTTTCTAGTATGCCTAAGACCTTGATTAGCTGGTGCAGGTGTGTTTAATTGGGGTTGGAGCTAAACTCTGCAGAACAGTGGCCCTCCAGGACCGAGTTTGGACACCCCCGGCATACACCATCCTAACCCTCTCTAAAGAAGCGCTTAACTTTAGGTTGTTTACAAAAGAAATCTGTCAGTGTTCTTTTCATTTTCTCTCTTCTTCAGCCCTTTCTTTTTCTCGCGGTAATTAGCGTAAAGCAGTTACTGAGAGATTGACATCTAATATTAACCAATACAAAATCTGCATTAAAGTTAAGAATGTAAGGATACAATCTGTTAATATATAATTTGTAGTTGTGATGCTCATACATTTTTGGTGAGTGCTTCTAAATTTTTGCTGGTGCTCCTAACTTTTTGAAGTTGGGAGCACCAGTGCTACCAAGTAAAAAAGTTAATTTCGAGCCCTGTGACGAGTAACACAGTCTCAGCGCAGATTTTCCTGGTGCTTTGGACTTTGAACCCTTGCGGTGCGAGCTCGTGCAGCGCTGTCAGAATACATGCAATTTGTGCGTGCATTAGAAAATATAACATTCTGCAGTTTATTTACTAATCCTTTGAGGCCATTTCGAGATTTCAATCATCATACAGTAGCCTAACCACCAGCATCAGCCACCTCTTCTTCTCATCGGAGACGTGATGCAGCACTAAACAGTCTCTCGCTGTCTGTGCTTCGTGCTTGTAATGATTTCTGCGTCTTTCTCTGATAGTTTTAAATACTTTCACACTGCCGACATGTTTGCTGCATTAGTGCGTGCCTCTATGTGATCGCGTTAGTCATTGTTCGGTAAATATTATTCGGCCTTTTCGCTTATTTCGGTTTGTCAAACATTCGGTGCATCTCTAATCTGAACCCTAAACACAAGCAGTACATGTTCAACAGAACTACATCACAGTATCGCTATTGTTTCAATGTGTTTCCTACTGCACTCCCACCAGCATTCAGCCAAAAACAGAAAGAACCACACCTGTAACTCATTTCGTGGTTCATTTCTTATATTTCATATGTGCACTCTGTGCTCCCTAGGGTACAGTTCATTTCTCAGACCCATTACCACACAGATCCTTAAAGTCGGTGTGTTGTTTTAGCTTGGATGTGTGGCTGCAGGTCATGAAGCTC